GTCTCAATCAAATGTCCTGTGATGCCGCAGGGGTGAACTCCCCACATCTCCATCAGATAACTCAATGGTCCGACTCACCGGCTGCAGTCCCAATTATGTACAATCAGACAATGCGGTAGATGATTTAGCAACAACCTAAACTAGGCAGTACTCTGGGCCAAGTCACATGAACCGAGCCGATCCGAAACGGTCGGGATGCATTCTGCAGGTGAGATGAGGGGCTTGGAATTTCTCAGATGAGGTCATTTGGTTTTCTCCGATCATCGCTCATTTCTGGCTTCTCCGAGAGGTTCCAAGGTTCCGTGACTGTTGATGACTGGGCTGAGACTGTCCGCAGGCTGCAGGGAAGCTCTGCACAGGTATAGGTCTCTCATCGGATATGTATTGTGTTGTTGCTGTTGCTGTAAGGTTTCCACTCCTGAGTCTCCTCCACTTTGTCACACATTATTTTTTATTCTTGGCTGTGATGGTCCAGATGCCGAGGTAAATCTTCGATTGTCTTCTAGACTCCCAAATGTTTCTGTTCCTGAACCGTGGTCCACTATTTCGCCGCGACATCCGGCTGCAGTTGCCCTGCAAATACAAACTGCCCAGTTATGTCGGCTCTTACAATATCCAAGGTAAATTAGATATGTAACACCAACCATTAACAAACGTGCGATAACGCATGGAACAGGCCACATGAACTGGTCAAGTGACTAGCAAAAGGAGCTTAATTTCCTGATTCTCCAAAACACAATTCTAAAAAGACCAAGGCCACGTCTAGCCTTCGCGTGTACGACCTTACAAATTGCCAAGGGGAAAATGTGAAGAGGTTTCATGACAGGCGGTGTGTGGTCTAAACTTGTATACAACGTCCATGTAGAGAATACATATGTAGATCTGGACTTCAGGAACCCACATCGGACCTGACAAGTAAGCCCTGCATTTGGGCATTTACACGGAGTGATATCTCATTTCTTACATTGGAATGTTTCTGGCTGGACTGAAAAAAAAAGGAAGGGAAAAAAGAAAAAAAAAACGCCCGGGCTCCACAGCCTCCACAGGGATGAAAGGGAGAAACCATACAAATGTAGGACCAAGTCAAAGGGCTATTGAATTGGATTGTGTCTAGTGAAGTTTCAAGAACTAGAATATTGGATTGTCATTGGTGTATACTGATATATAAGATAACGATCATCTTAGAATATAGAGTAGAAGAATAGGGGGATATAGAGTGCTAATAAACACACATTAAAACTGAAAATGGGCAAAGATGTCATTGACAGGGCTGATCAGGAGAAAGTGGACAGAAGGATCGGAATGTTCCATGCAAACTTACAAACAGGCCTGAAATGGAAAATCGAGGAATCCCCTGAGTTCGGTGGGGATTTTTCCAGAACAAAACTGACTCCATAACAGAGGCCCAAGAGCCCAAGACCCAGCATCGGGAATCGAGGCTTCAATTTGAAACCCGGCACTCTCCACGGGATGCTAAAAAGGACAAGAAGTAAAGTAAGAGAAGTAAAGGTCCACAATATAGCAATCTACACCCAACTATATTGTAACTGGTACTTCCATATATTCACGGAAGTAACGGAATGCTAAATCTGAAGCTTAACGGTTTGGTTTGCATTAGGCTGCTGTTTCGAAATCTGCTCTTGTCAGCTGCTCCACCTGTCCCTGCAATATACATATGAGACTGCGAGTCATCCCGCGATCCTAACGATGCATCGTACCTTCTGATTTTTTTTTCGATGTATGGCGGATCCTTCATTGGCTTTCATGCACCGAAGACCAGCATTTGGGCCGATCAACCCGCATATTCGGGTCTAGGGATGATGATCGACCGATCTCTGCAGTATTAGAATCTACTAAATAGATGTGTACAACACAGCAGTATGTAGTAAGTGGTAGAGTTCTCCAGGGCTATAAAGATTACCAATATTAAAGGGGAAAAATAGCCGGAAAGTACCGCCAAGTACCCAATACTACCCAGAGTCTCAAGGGAAAAAGACAAAAAGAGTGATTCAGATGGTTGGGTTAGAAAGAGATTAAAGAAAATAAAAATAAATAAATAATATGGTAAATAATATAAAACAGTGAAAAATGAAAA